TTACGTTACTTAACGTTAAGGTTAAGGTTAAACGTTATTACTTTAGTTTAGTATAGTATATATATATATATATATATATATATATATATATGATTTCAGAAAATTCACTTTTTGAAACTTTAAATATCGAAACATAAAATGAGAGTACTATGTTCTAAATCTATTATCAAGTCCCGTAAATATATATTATCAAGTCCCGTAAATGTTATTAAAACTGTTACGAGATGCATTTTTCCACCTTGACATTTTAAGTAATTCGAATTGAAAAGTTTTTTTTTGTTGAATTTTATCTGATTTAACAATTTATGGGTTTACAATTGATCTAGATCCGGCGTCATGTCAATTCGGATCTACCGCCATGTCGATCCGGATCTATTAGCATACCAATCCAAATTATATGGTGAAATCACTATTATTGTAAAAATTCACAAATTGAATGAAATCTAACAAAAGTAAATATAAGTAATAAATACTATATTGAAAATTTATATTTACAAATATAATCCCGCACGTACGTGTCATCATCTAGTTATCATTAAAAAAATATATTAAACCAAAATCTAAATCATACTTTAAATATGTTGACAAAAAAAAAATTCCTACTTTTAAATATTTTAAAATCTACACAAATGTTTAAAACTGAAATGTTAAAGATTATTAAATAAACAGTCCATAAGAGAAAAGCCACATGGGGCATATTAATTAGAAGAGGCCACGTTTCTTCCATTGCTCTGTATCAAATCTCTCCTTCGTAGTCTAAAAAAGTCAAAACAATTCGAGATCATCATCACCATCACAACAAATTCTATGGCTTCTTCTACTACGACCCTTTTAGGTCCACCATCCGTCGCCGGAGACACTCATCTCATCAAACCAACCACCACCATTAACTCACCGGAGTCCTCTGTTTCCAATGACCAAACTTTCATCTCCCAAACCGCCGCACTAAACCTCCAAGAACCACCAATGATGGGTCTAACCGAAAACTTCTCGCCGACGTTTCTCTCTTCCAGCAACCCATGTCTAGATTTCTTCTTCCACATCGTCCCCGACACGCGTCCCGATGATCTGATCCAAAGGTTGACACTTTCTTGGTCTCATGACCCTTTAACTACTTTGAAGCTCGTCTGTAACCTCAGAGGTGTTAGAGGAACTGGGAAGTCAGATAAAGAAGGGTTTTACACATCTGCGTTTTGGCTTTACAAGAATCATCCAAAGACCTTAGCTTTGAACCTCCCTGCTCTTGTTGGTTTTGGGTATTTCAAAGATTTGCCTGAGATTCTGTATCGGATCTTGGAAGGTCAGAATATGGAGAGAGGGAAGGGGAGGGTGTGGAGGAAGAGGGTTCGGAGTAATTTCAAAGGGAAGAGTGAGAAAAGGTCTGAGCTTTCCGGTGAATTAGAAGATCGGATTCTGGAAAACGCGGAGGAGATTGATAAGGTAAAGGCTAGAGCTTTAAGGAAACAGAGAGAGTTCGAGAAGGCGAAGAAGGCTTTAGAGAGGTATAACTCTGATGGTAATTACAGATTACTCTTTGATCGAATTGCTGATTTGTTTGCTGATTTGTTGAAATTGGATTTGAAGTGTTTGAATTCGAATGAGTTGAATAAGATTAGTTTAGCTTCGAAATGGTGTCCTTCGGTTGATTCTTCGTATGATAAGACTACTTTGATATGTGAGGCAATTGCTAGAAGGATGTTTTCTAGAGATGAGTATGAAGGTATTGAAGAAGGGCATTATGCGTATAGGATTAGAGATAGGTTGAGGAAAGAGGTTCTTGTGCCGTTGCGTAAAGCTCTTGAATTGCCTGAGGTGTTTATGAGTGCAAAGGAATGGGATTTGTTGAAGTACAGTAGAGTTGCTTCTGTGGCTATGAAGAATTACAAGAAGCTCTTTGTGGAACATGATAGTGAGAGGTTTAGTAAGTTTTTGGAGGATGTGAAGTCCGGGAAGAAGAAGATTGCGGCTGGTGCGTTGCTTCCTCATGAGATAATAAACCAGCTGGAGTATAATTGTGAAAGTGAAGTTGACGCAGAAGTTGCGGAGCTTCAGTGGGCGAGAATGGTGGATGATCTTTCCAAGAAAGGGAAGATGAAGAGTTCACTTGCGGTTTGTGATGTCTCTGGAAGCATGTCTGGTACACCTATGGAGGTCTGTGTGGCACTTGGGTTATTGGTTTCAGAGCTTAATGAAGAGCCGTGGAAAGGGAAAGTTATTACCTTTAGCGAAAACCCGCAGCTTCATACTGTCACGGGTTCGAGTCTGATGGAAAAGACTGAGTTTGTTAGACAAATGGATTGGGGAATGAACACTGATTTCCAGAAGGTGTTTGATCGAATTTTAGAGGTTGCAGTCGAGAATAAGTTAACCGATCAACAGATGGTCAAGCGGTTATTTGTGTTCAGCGACATGGAGTTCGATGATGCAATGTCAAACAGCAATTCAGAGGTGAATTACTCCTTGACTGTGGAGGACCGGTTGAAGATATCGAAGCAAAAGTCCAAGGAGAAATGGGAGACAGATTATGAGGTGGTTCAGAGGAAGTATAAGGATAGCGGTTTTCTGAATGTTCCAGAAATGGTATTTTGGAACTTGAGAGACTCGTCGGCTACACCCGTGGTAGCTAACCAGAAAGGAGTGGCTATGGTTAGCGGGTTTTCGAAGAATCTACTGACTCTGTTTCTTGAAGAAGGTGGGATTGTCAATCCTGAAGATGTTATGTGGTTAGCCATCAAAGGTGACGAATATAAGAAGCTTACTGTTTATGACTAAGATACACATACCTAAAGATTCAATGCGTAACCCCAAACATCACCATTTCTATCAGTTTCTTTGAGTTTTTTTTTTACTTTTGTTTTTGATTATGCAGAATTATGTGAGGGCATGAATGAATCTTGTTTAACAGTTTTGTTTCAAGAAAATGAAAAATCTTTTGTTTGACATTTTTGTTGTAAGAAGATGAATCTTTTGTAAGAAAAAGGCAAAAGCCAAACTCTCTTTTGTGTATATATATATATATATTCTACCATCGATTATACATTGTACCATTTGTGTAAATTCTACAAATTTTAGAACATATATATATTAACATTCTCATCAAATAATCAAAATTTCATCCTATAAGTTCATTCTTTTTTTCAAGTATTTTGGTTTTTTCGCTGATAACTACATGCGTTAAAATTTATGAATATATATATATATATATATATAGAAGTAAAAGTATAGTAGTATTCTCATTAGGTATTTAAAATTTGAGAATTTTTGAGAAATACCCCTTTTGGTGTACCCCTTTTTAAAAATACCCCTCTTTTCTATCCATTTTCAATAAATATGAAAAATTATAAATTTTTATATGGTTAATAAGGTACTTCTATATAATAACTACTACTGGGAGATTCGATAAAAATATTTAAAAATGTTTTAAATTGTTTTTATAAGTTTTATAAGGTTTTTAGAAGGTTTTTAAAAGGATTTATACGGTTTTTATAAGGTTTTTATAAGGTTTTTATAATTTATTTTTACGTTATTTATGAAAGTTATATAAAGTTTTATACACATATAAAGGTAACTTGTGTATATATTTATAAGTTTACACACATATTTGGATAAATTTCAACATTTTTAGTGGGTTTTTTGATAAAGTTTGAAAATGAGGTATTTTTAAAAAGAGGTATATGAAAAGGGGTATTTTTGAAATTCCCCCTTAAAATTTCACTATGATAAGATCATTCTTTTTGCAATTTTTTTTTGGTTTTACTTACAAATAAAAATATATTATATTAAAACGATAAATAAAAATTGTATCCAATTCACATAATTTTAAATGACTTATATTATTTTTCTTACACAAATCTATATTATTATTTTATAAAAAATACTGTTACTTGGTTAATGTCCATATTATGTGAATTATTTTTTTGGATACAATTATCAAAATTAACTAATCAGTAACACACATAAAATTATAAAATGTAAATATTTTTTCCTGCTTAAAGGATAAAATTTATTTTTAAAAAACGAAAGACTTGACACTTGTTAGTGTTACCATCATATTAATGTCTAATTTTAAATTTAATCTTTACAGTAATAATAAGATACATCATTAGTCATAATAAGTAGACATATTTATAATTTTGTAAAAATTGCAGGTATTTTTTATGATATGAGTGCGAAAATAAACTAAATCGTTTGTTGGCCAAACAAAAATGAACTAATTCTCTACAAAATAAGCTATAAATGAAACTGCAGTCATATATATATTTACCATAAAATTGAATATTTGCAGATCATTTTTATGTTTTCAAATGAAATATAGAGGATATATACATAAGATAGTTATTACTAATATTCACACTTTGTAATCTATATATATAAAGTTAGCTTTTTCTCTCTTCTCATGATGCCACCTAAGCATCCACCTAAGCCACATTTTTGTTTAAACATTAAAATAAATTTAAAACATTCATTTAGTGCATATTTATGTTACTTATTTAAATAATAGAAAGTTTATATAAATAAAAAAAATTATGTAAAAAAAATGAAATGTTAAAATAAGAAAAACAATACTTTAATTGTTTTTATTAGTAGTAATAATATAATTCAACTTTCATTTTAAATTGATCATAATTTAATATTTTAAATATGTTGCTGAGTTTTAGAATGGAAGTAAAATTTAAATTTATGGTAGACTAAAACAACATTTATGTAATTGTATATATAAAATTATAAAGAGGAAAAATAAAATGAAAGTGAAATATTAGTTTATAACATGATCAAAAAGAAAAAAATGATATTTCATAAATTGAATCAAATGCTTTTAATCCAAATTTGAGTATTGAAAGATAATAATTAAAGAGAAAATAATTATAATATTTTTGAAAATCAATTAAAAATAATAATAAAATATCACAATATGAATAAAAAATCAACGAAACAAAATTATAAACCTCCCGCGCGGAGCGCGGGTCAACTGTATGTTATAAAAAAATTAAACACAAAAAATAGACATAAGCAGTAAACTCTTGTACATATTTGTTTGATTAATCAATTACACATTCAATCAAAAAAATAAGACATTATACATATATAAAAAATTACAAGCTATTGTTGTTGTCTTGTTGGGCATATATATGGTTTATAAGAGCATCTCCAACCCACCTCTATTTTTGCCTCTAAACTCTATTTTATAACAAATTTTGCTCCAACCCACCTCTATATCCACCTCTATTATAGAGATTACTATTTTTATCTCTATATATAGAGGAACTCTATTTTTTCCTCTATAAATAGAGGTGAACTATTTTATTTGCAAAGTAGTCCTTTTAATCTCAAATTTCTTTTAAAATAAATATATTTAATAACTAATAATAATATAAAATATTTTAAAGGTTTTAATATAAATATATATTCTAAAATTTGAGACTACCATTTGCAAAAGTTAATATATATACATAATAGATTTTATTTTTATTGAAGAAAAAAATATTATATAATATGATGTTTTTATAATAAATGTTTAATTTAAATAAAAGTAATTATTTTATCAAAATTTTATAAAAGTTAAAGTAAATGGGTTAATTTACAACTTTTATAAATAGATGGTGTTAATATTAAAATTTTAAAAGAATCTATCTGAAATATTCTATTATAGAAGAAAAAATAGAGGAAACCATTGGAACAAAAGTCACATCTATTATAGAGTTCCTCTATTATAGAAGTAAAAATAGCAAAAAACCATTGGAGATGGTCTAACGGTTATATATCAACTTAGACGCACAATTTAGCAACTTATGTATTTGTTCACATCATCCTATTTATTTTAACAAACTACTTATTATTTATTTTTTTAACAATTATTTGTACTATTTAAAAATTAGTTTTGTACTTTTGAAAAATGAAGAGTTATTCTTGCTGGGGAGGAAAAGGGTCTTTTGGATGCGGTTTCTAGATTTTTTGGCTTTACCCTTTTTCAAATATTAATCGGAGCTAATTCTGGGAGATGGGTTGGAGATGCTCTTAAAGAAAATCGAAGTGCTAAGAAAGGAGTGCATTCCTAATTGCGCAAAGCGTGATTAAGGAGGATCGTGAACAATCATACGTAGCGACTGGCTATCCGTCGTAGTTAGATGAAGTATTTACTGAAGAGATGTACGTTACCTCTAAACGTAATATTTTTGTTATTCTCTAATGGTGATTATTTAGAATCTTCATAAATATCTGATATTGTTGTAAAAACGCTGAAGCTTTTGATGAATTATTTAGAAAAAAAACAAATTTGAAAAATGAAGCAGTGATTAGTAATATTTTCTCACAACGAGTAAGAATTGTACCATTTTATTTCTAATCGGTACTTCACAACTGAAAACAACATTCTTATTTTTCAAAAATTATTGTGGTGCCACTTACCGTTTTCTTTACTTATTAAAACTTTTACTATTTTGTGTCACCATTAAAATTCGAAGGTATGATGTCACTAGCAAAAAAAAAAAATACATGTAATTAAATCCTATATTCTTATTAATCATCACGATCTGAAACATATCATATCATACAACTAAAATATAAGACGATGCTCGTATATAATCTCATTACATTCTTAGTTAACTAAGATCATATATCAGCCGATGCATTCCATTCAAAAATAGAGATTGTTGCTTGGATCATGATCATAATAAGATCATTGCATATATATGCTAACTATATTGTAATCTTTAATCTGTTACTTTCATTAGAAATAATAATGAATAATTATATCTCACTCACTTCTTCTTGCCCTTGTTAGTACTATTCTCTCCCTGCTCAAGAAGATCTTCCAAAACACTATCGTCCAAATACTCAAATTCAAAAACTTGCCTAGAAGAAGAAGAGGCCGAGGCCGAGGAAGAGGAAGATCCAGCCACAACAGAGGAAGAAGATCCACCACCACCACCACTTGCCATGTTATACTCATGAGGGAAGTTCAAAATCGCGGCTTGGCCTCTCATGGAGTATGCAGCTTGGTCATATGCTCTAGCCGCTTCTTCAGCAGTATCAAAAGTACCAAGCCATATACGTTCACCGTGGTTTCTTGAATCACGTATCTCAGCTGCGTATTTGCCCCATGGCCGTCTCCTAACTCCTCGGTACTTCCCATGCTCAGCTCCTCCGCCACCACGACCTCCTTGATCCATATATGTATATGGTTCTTTGTTTCTATAACCAAGAAAAACAAAGAAAGATTGTTCTCTTGCGGTTTGTGTTCTCTCGTTGACGTGTTTGTGTTTTTTCTGTTGCATGTGTTTTGAAAGGATTTGATTCTGTTAATTAATAGGCGAGGGGAAAAGAAAATAAAGTTGCGGGTCCTAATTCCTAATATATTCGTCGTCCCTCGACATATATTCATAACGAAAGAATATAAAACTTCATTGAGATTAAAACTTTACCATTTTGAAAATTCATCTTTTAAAGTCTCTAAGTTAAATTAAATTAAATTAAAAATTGAAAAAATACTCAAAGTTTTTTGATTGGTGGTCATGTAACTTATGTTTACAGGGAAACCAAATTTGGTTTAATTTTGTTTGTAATTATTTACAAATAATATTATATATATATATATATATATAGATGTAGTTAAATATTTATTGGAAACGAACAAGACAAGTCAAATTAAAAGAATAACACATGCTCGAGTTGGAATCATCGGAAAGTCAGAGACAAGAGTTCTAGAAACAGCATCCCTCGTTCTTGATTTGGTAATTTAAACAAAAAAAAAAAAGAACTGTCTAAATGGAGTATTGAAGTTACCAATCAATAAATTTAGAAAACCCAAACCCAAACCAAATGTAGTTTTGGCTCAGACCAAACTATTTTTAGTTTCACATACATTAATTGATAATATGAGAATAGCTATTTTCAAATGTTGACGAGTAGTAAGGTTGAAAACAATATATAACCTATCTTTTTTATATATTTTTAAAATTAACGTTTTAAGTTTTTTTTTTCCAACAAAATATATGGATCAGTTTAAGTGAGCCAGTTGAGACGAAAATTGTTTACAAACATGACATAATACGGTTTAATATGAACTTTCCGTGCTAAGTAATCTGTACATTTGCACGACGAGAAATAAGAGATCAAGAAAATACAAACTTTGGTGAAGTTGAAATTTATATAAGTGCTAATAGCTCAATTGGTGAAGATCTTTGGCAAAAGCTTAAAAATCGCCGGTTCGAATAACGTTTGGGATGAGACCATATAACATGCTTTGGTTTTGGGGATGTATGAGATTTGGCCCAAAACTTTTTTGATTATTGAGAAAAAAAAAGTTGAAAGTTATTAGCTCTGCACACATCTTGAAACAATACTTTTATATATAAATGAATAAGTTGTACTCTCTCATATTAGATGATTTTTTTTTTTCTTTATTAATGTGGCTTCACTGAAATTTTTTTACCTAAAATTTTATGTTTTCAGGTGAAAAGAGAAAACTACAGGTCGTGGTGGAGTCACAGCCACAGGTAGCAATGCAATGTTGTGAGAATATTTTTGACTTTGATTGTACGCACGTGTGTTTTGACTAACCAAAATATAGACTTTCATGCATGTTTCTCTTCTTGGACCATTATAATATTCTTATGAACTTGTTCCCCAATCTCCAAATCGAACTTTATAAGACTCTAGTTGTGTGTATAAACAGGTAATTAAAAGTAAAACAAAACACTAACAATATGATCCTAATAGAAGAAAGAAACAAATTGACCCATAACGTGTAAGACTCATATAGTCTTATTCATTACCTTTAGAAAAAAATAAAGAGAATTTTGCCTTTTTATGGGCTGCTACGGCGTCCAAGCTAGTCGTGGATCAGGTTGTCTTGTCCCTTACTCATGCAACATCTTTGTTTACTTTTGTTTGGTCGGTATAGAAGAGAAAGAAAAAGACAAATATTTGTGGTCTTTTCCTTTTCATTACAACACACAATGATAAGAAATTTATGTTTGTATCGAAAATATTTGTGCAACTAATTTAACAGACTAATCTCCAAACTTTATAAAAAGGTTAAAAATACATTTAAAATAAGTTTTCCTTATTTTAGAATTTCAAAAATACCCTTTTTCCAATACCACTTTTTAAAAATACCCGTCTTTCTAATTTTATCAAAAAGTCACTATAAAATTTGAAATTTATCAAAAACATATGTGTAACCTTATATTTATAGACACAAATTATCTTTATATGTGTGTAAATTTATATATATATTTCATAAATACCGTATAAACCTTTTAAAAACCTTTTAAAAACCATTTAAAACCCTTATAAAAACTGTGTAAACCTTTTAAAAACCTTATAAAAACCTTATAAATGCAGTTTAGAACATTTTAAAACCTTATAAATATTTAAATTTAATCTTACAGCAATAATGACGATCTTGATGTACCTTATCAACCATATAAAAGTTAATAATTTTTCATATTTGAAAAGGGGTACTTTTGAAAATGGATAAAAAGAGGGGTATTTTTAAAAAGGGGTACACCAAAATGGGTATTTCTTAAAAATTTGGTTTACTATCTATATTAATATTTTTAAAGTAACTTTTGGAAAGTAACCTTTTATTTTGTATTATTTTCATTATTAAACCATTTCTATTTGAATAAATAACAAACATTTAAGATAAATTTTCTAACTAAGTCATACTAAAATTGCAAAACTAGATATTAGTATTTATTACATTTAACAAAAGTTCCTAAAATCTCTCCATAATAAATCAAATATTTCTCCAATATCTTTATACGATTTTTTTTTAAAATTGATATTATTACATAACAATATGTATACTAAAAATATAATTTTTTCCGCATATATTGCAATAGAAATTTTGAAAATGCACGTACATTACTCAATCGATACAAAAAGTGTATGTACTAAACTATTATTGATAAGTGTGTAGCACGGGTCAAGTGATTGAGCGAGTTATAATTTACATAACTATGAAAATATACTTTTTTACGGATTGTCTAATATAGCAAAACTCACAAAATATTTTAATCTGATATTTGACTATTTAAACGAAAAATGTTATGCCAACATCATTTTATTATTTTAAATATTATATTTATTGAATTAAATTTATCAAATTACGATTATAAAAAACAAAATTTATGCAATATTCCACATGTTAAATCATAGAAATGAATAATCAAAATACAGTAGTGCAATTTTATATACCAAATAAAATAAACAAAAAATACATTTTAAAATCACCGGTTAAAATCTACTGATTTTATTATTGTTTTGGGTTGTAAATAAAATTTTGCTCATACTATTTGGCTTAGCCTTAGGGGGACTTCTTTTTCTTGCTCTCTGTATCGACTTTTCTTATCATTAATAGATTACAATTTTTACTTTTGTCACCGTATCGAATTCTCAATTCATTAAATATTATATGTGAATTTGTACATTTTAGTTTGGCTTGACGTTTGATATCGAATTGTTGGGTTTTTGAAACTGTTGGCTACGATATCAATTGATGCACAACTTTAGATCCTTTTTATTTCAATCAGTGTAGCCGGTAAAATATAAATATAAGAACCACAAACCTGCATTTCAACGTGAAGCAAAGAAAGGTTACTATGGTGTCATTATCAAATTGTGAGATCCTGGTTTGCAGAATATTTTTAAAAATCGATTTGGCCATTTGTATCACTAAAATGCATTTATTTTTTCGGTCAAATGTTTTGAGAGAACTCCATAGTTAAACATGTTTATGCGGGAGTAGTATAGAGATGGTGACCTTTCAGTAAGTAGCTATTGGAAATGTGTAAGTGAGGCCAAAGCACAAAGAAAGATTATATGGTGATTTGTAGGGTCGGTAACAAGTCTTTAAAGCCTCTCAAACGTAGAAAACGACCATCGGATTTGGATGAACTTACTGAGCTTGGACATGAGACTTATTAGAAAGGTAGATATATGGACTGAAAATGAACATATGGTCCACCGAAAAAGGTGATGGTCTGAACGTTACAAAATTTTACCAAAAACAAAGTGTTAGTATAAGTGATATAAGTGATAAAACCGCTAAGGATTAAAAACATAAAAATAGATCCTTTAACCAAATGTTTTTGTATAATGTAAAATGCTATTCTTAATAAAAGAAAATAAACTAGATTTTAAACGCTGTACACCGCGGGACAATATTTTAATATATATATTTTATTTATTTTGTTTGGTATATAATATTGCACTATTGTATTTTGATTGTTCATTCTATGATTTAACATGTGGAATATTGCATATAATTTTTTTATATATATAATTGTAATTTGATCAATTCATTTAAATAAATATAAATTTTAAAGAATAAAATGATGCTGGCATAACATCTTTCGTTTAAATACTCTAATTTCAGATTAAAATATTTTGTGAGTGTTACTATATTAGATAACCCGTAAAAATATCTATTTTAAAAATTATGTAAATTATGACCCGCTCCAACACATGATCTGTGCTACACAATTATCAATAAAAGTTCAGTACATACATTTTTGTATCGGTTGAGTAATATACATGTGTTTTCAAATATTCAAATCGCAACATATACGGAAAAAATATTTTATTATATATATTTTTATGTAATAATATAAATTTTAAAACAGATAAGATCATATAAAGATATTGGAGAAATATTTGATTTATTATAGAGAGTTTTTATGAAATTTTGTTAAATGTAATAAATACTAATTTCTAATTTTGCAATTTTAGTATGATTTAGTTACAATACTTATCTTAAAAATTTGTTATTTATTCAAATGGTAAGGGTTTAATTATGCAAATAATACAACATAAATGTTACTTTCAAAAAATCTTTCAGAAATGTTAATATAGATAACAGGGTAAATGGTAATTCAACTATCATAATTTCGATTAATAAGTTGTAAAAAATCGATATTTAATTTTCGAGATTGATCTGATCGAAATTGTTTCCATTGACATATACTAATTTAACAAATTATATGCCAACATTATATATTGAGCCGCCTCTGAGTTAAGGGCAAAGCATGTCGGCATATTGGTTAAGTACAAAAATTTGTTTTAGGGTCCAGAATAATAATATATCGAGCCGCCTCTCGATATAACGTAACGTTACTACTAGTAGTAGACTTGTACTTAACCAATATATGTGAAATGACATATT